GCTGTTTCTGTGCAGTTGCTGAGACTAGAGGAAGGAAGCAGGCAGATGGATGGTTGTTAGGTGTGGTGTGTGAGTGAAGGTGTTATAGTCTGAATCTTTTGTGTAGCTGTCAGTGTGAGTGATACTTCACTGGGCATGCAGAAAATGGTCTGCTCTCAGTGTGAAATCTTTGGCCTGTTTCTCCCATGTCTCTTCAATCTTTAAAATACACTTCTGCTCAGAGGATGTTATGACCTGATGTATGCCAGAGGAGGAAGAGAGGGCTTTTGTTTGAAGGCTCTTTAAATTGTACAACCTTTAAACTTTATAGCCACTTAAAATGTAACCTTGAAATCTTGTGCTCTGCTTTATGCAGTTCCTCTGTCCCAAGACTCTTTCAATTGACCTTCTGACACAAACTCGTGTTCAGGCCCCAGTGGTGGAGAGCCCAGACGCTGGCTGTTGGCTTTATCTTTAGTAATCTTTTACTCTCAGTTTCAGTCTGGCCCCTTGCGAAAGTGGCACAAGCTGTTGTTTGGCCTCCTACATCGCACTGTCCCTCTGCTCTTATTTGGCTTTGGGGATTACTGAGCCAACTTGAGCAGGATTAATGAAGGAGAAGGAATTCCTTTTGTACAGTGAGTGCAGGAAATAAACTGAGGACGGTGCAGGCGCAGTGCATCTGACATTTCGATTACCATGAGCTTTTCTGTTTAACCTCATGCTGCTTTGGTTTATAATCTCAACCACTTGGCTTAGAGGATCTGAAGAAACTAAACTTGCAAACTGCAAAATTTTAAATGCCCATTATCTTTGTGGAGGACCTTTTTTTATCTGTATCGAACAGCATTAAATCAACCTCTCACAGGGTTTCACCTGGCTCCACATTAATCTCAGGAGTGATTTTAAGAGTGCAGCCTGTCGCAGTCATCATCTCCTATGGTTTAATCTTTTTATGGTGTTTTGGCTGAACCATTAGGAAGCTGTATATAATGAAGGTGCTCGTATATGGTCACGTACTCATGTGGAAAGGTGTGAAAATAAACAGCACGACGTCAGCGACCTAAACCACAAGTGCTACGTGTGAAATACTGATTCTGATCGAAATTTTGCACAGCGTACAAAACCAACCCTTGCTGTTCCTCCAAGGGAATATGGGGCATTTGTATATTCAACATTTATTTTAAGTCAACTTTCCAAATTTTGCGTAGTGCGTAGGTTATAGGATCCATCTGTGGCTTAATTAATATCCGGAAAAGGACAAGCCTCATGGACAGGAGCTTTCCCAGCCTTTTCTGTTGGTCTCTAAACAAATTAGAGGGAGACAAAAACACTAGAGCTGAGCTTTGTTATTGAATTACATCTGACATGCTCCCCTGAGAGTATAATTCACAGGATACTAAAAGGCTCCGGCAAACTACAACATGAACAAATTAGTTTGTTCTGTACTTATCTCGTAACAGGACCGCTGGAAGGGAAAAGGGATTTAGAGGCAGTTTGGAGAAGTAGTGTATTACAAAGATTACCCACGGCTGTGGTCATGTATTGTCCTTCATGGAGATTTAATGTGCTTAACTTGTTGTTTTTTTTTCTTCAGCTTAACCCTGTCATGACAAACATGAAATATATCCCTTTAGAGCTTGTACAGGCACAGTTGTCTTTTTATGTTTGACCTGAGACCAAGGGTCATTTGTTTTTAAATAAGATCCGGAGAACGAATTACTGCAGCACTGAGATGGAAGGAGAAAATAAGTTTGTGTAACAGTTACCACATCTTGGGTAATATCCTTTAGTTTCTTCCTAAGAGTAAGGATTGACACAAGTCTTATGTCTACGTGTAAAGCAGTGGCGCCCCCAGAAATGTTTCATAGGGGTGGCCAGATGGGGATGAAAACTCTTGGGGTGGCACACTAAAACAAAAAGTCAGAGTGGACTGCATTTGTTATTTTCTTTCACATTAACTATTCCTAATGTAAAATATAAAATATCAGACAGAAGCTTACTATGCATGTTCAATTCGCGAGGAGGAGCCAGTAGGCGGTCCAGCGATTGTCCCTTTGGCGGCACCACTGATGTAAAGTACAGAGCTGGAGCCAAGATGTGGTTAGCTTAGCTTAGCATAAAGTCTGGACAGTTATTGGATTTATGAGGAGTTAGGGGGTCACCTCCCGGCTCTAGCGCTTTACTTTATGGACAGACATGAGAGTGATGTCGATCTTCTCGCCTAACTCTCAGCAAGTAAGCGAATAAACATAAAGACATGCAGAATTTAACACACAGTTTGTGTTGTTTAAGATTTGTTCATGTTTCCATGCAGCAGCTCCCAAAGAGGTAAAAAGAAAGTTTTTTTGAACACCTCTTATACGAATATTAGGCTCCAGTTGATGAAGGGAAAAAACAACTATACTGAAGCAACGTTGGACTTGAAACTCTGCTTATGCTTTGACTACAAGATCCAGTTCACGTTCTCAACTTGTTGCATGCTTTTCCTCTGCTCGATTTGACCTTAAGACAAAAGATAAAACATATTTTAGTTAATCTTTCATGTGAAGATTATCGACACGTTCAAAATTGCATTCCCCTTGTTTCCTGTGCAGAGGCAGCAGATTGATAAGGAGGCATGGTCCCTCACAGATTAGTAATCTTTTCCACATGTGAAGCTCGTGCTGTGGCACAATGTTATCATCAAGGAGACAGCGTTTCTTAAAGCAGCCGGAGGCCGGCACGGATCTCGGTGGAAACATTTATCCTCTCAGTGGTCGTGGACTTGTGGGCTAGCTGAGCCGTCATCTCCTGGAAGGTGATTTCACTAACTGAATTTCCTCTTTGAGGTTTCCTGTGGTGAAAGCAATTGTGATGTTGTTGCTATGAGAAGACAACACTCGGTTTCTAAGGAAACACTCGAAACAGAGAAAACAGGCCTCATTTGCAACACCACAGGCAAATTTGCTAGTCACTTAGTGACTGCAGCCCTCTGTCATGAAAGTGCTGTTAAACTGCACAGTTTCATTGGTTTGTAGCCACAATAGCTTCCGCCTGCGTGCCTACATGAGTTTGTGGGTGTGAATCCTTCTGTCTGTGTATATTGAAGTTGTAAAAGCTATTTGAGCTTAATTGTTTAAACTTTGATTTCAGATTTTAACAGATGAGATTTTGTCCTGCATTCAGAGAGGAAGTTGGCCTGAGCCTGCTATCTACCTTATTTTCTTATTACAAAACCTCAGAAGCTAACTGAAGGAAGAGGTAAAACATGTCATGCTTTGGCGCCTCACAAAGTTGGCTCATTTCCGAGTGTCAACCGCAAGGATGTTTCAGCTGTATGCTTGTGAGAAAAAGAGGCAGCGTGATCCCATCCCAACATTAAAACACCCGTATTTCTTTGTTTCACACTCCTCTTCTTGCCTAAATGAGTTAGTTCATACCACATTATAGGTAGCGAGCCACACCTAACAAATCTGTGAGCCATTTCCGTTCTGTGAAGAATAAACTGATGTGAATGAGGCTACAATCGTGAATTTGTTGACTCCCTTCCTATGTGGGTGGTCAGGGCAGGAAGCAGACCATGCATTCACTCTCAGCACTAGCCAGAGACATACAAAGCTTAGTCACAGTTTCCACGCTTGTTCATTAACTAGCTGCTTTTGGCATTCGAACAAAATCTTACTGGAGACTGATAGCAGCGATGTGCAGGCCAACCTGCAGCCAGTAAAGAGGATGTTTCTAATGCTGCAGGGCCGGAGGAGGAAGTGGAATATCAGAGATGATTTTATCTTATTTTGATGGTAATTTGAAACTAGCATTGCTGTTCTTGTGAGTAGCAGTGGCCAAACTTGGATCTGCTTTGTTGCTGTGTGTGTGCCAAATACAGTCCAACAGTCCATACTGCAGTCTAATAATACCACAGATCACTGGACTTCCAGTCAGGGAGAAATTTGTCTCCCAAATTGAGCTTTGAGTCTTCATTATCTGCCTGCAGTCTGAGTCACAGTGCCAGACTCTCACCCTGCTGACAGCACTTTAATGAGGATTTTGGACCAAGCTCCACATTTTATCTCCAGCTGCCCACTAGAGCAGATTGGGACCAGTGAACATGTCTCTGCAGTCAGGTGTCTTCCTCAAAGTGTGTGTTTTTATCTGTTTGTTCAGTGTGTTGCCCTGCGAGGATGAGTAGGCGGAGCCATGTGATCGTAACGAGTAGCAGTGACTGTGTGTGTTGTTACCACTGCTGCACTCGCCTTGTGGTATTAACTGGCTGATATGATCTTTCATGACAGCGAAAAATGTTTCTCTGTTTGCTATCTTGCTTCACACTGTGCCACCTGGAAAAGGCCACATAAAAGTAGAGCTGAAACGAAACAAAAAGGGCTTCTTAAATGGGTTGAAGGTTTGCAGCTTTTTGGATTATTGCTTGGCCGAAGCAAGACATTTGAATCGAGACATCACTTTGGGCTCTCAAAACTGGTCATGTGCATTTTTCAGATTGTTTGACACTTTATGGACTGACTAATAATAATAACACTTACGTGCTGTGGAGTTATATTACAGCCCATGGCCTCCCTTGATGTTGATACATTGCTAAAATTGTCTGCTCTGCATAAAGAGTTGATTTTTAAATGTAAGTCATTCATGAATTCACTGACTTTGTTGCATGCCACACTTGTCTTAGATATATTTAAAAATAAAATAAAACCTTACTGTCCCACCAGAGCAGAAAATGTCTTTGTCTCACCAATAAAAACACAATAAAACACAATATAATAAACAAGCAATATATGTGCAAAAGTTGATATTGAACGTATTGATTGCACATGATACAAGGGATCTTTTGTATATCTATTTTTTTTACTGGAGCATTATTCTGAAGGCATTATAGTATTATACATTGCATCTCGTGATTCTGGTTGGTGATCTGCTGTGCAATATTTATGGCTGTTCTAACAAAACTGGGGTACTTGTTTTTGAAGTGTCAGGTGATTAAAATTAAAACCAAACATTAAAGTTGATATCTGTTTCTTGTGCAGGAATCCTCTTTTCCACTCTGGTGTTTGGACCAGCTTGTGGCTTCATCCTCGGTTCCGTCTGCACTAAGTTCTACGTGGACGCTGTCTTCATCGACACCAGTGAGTTTAACATTTCTCCACTGCTCTTCTGAACGTGTTTCTCTGTGCATATGGTGTATTGATTTTCTGCTGTGCCTTTCCACAGGTAAGCTAGACATCACTCCAGACGACCCGCGGTGGATCGGGGCCTGGTGGGCAGGCTTCCTCCTGTGCGGTGCCTTACTCTTCTGCTCGGCCCTCTTTATGTTTGGCTTCCCTCAGTCACTGCCGACCAAGGAGAGAGAGGAGGAGGCAGACAGTGAGCAGGTTATGCTTCCTCCCTCTCTGAATTCAGACTATGAGACTCCTAAGTCCAGTAATGGGGTTGTACGCAACCACGAGCCTGCCAACAGCCCCACCTGCTGTCAGCAACTCAGGGGTGAGTGTGCAAGACCCTGTAAGAGTGGTGCAGTGTTGTCATGCAAGGAAAATACACATTCTGTAAATGTAAAAACATTTTAAAATAGAGGACATATTATGATCAATTTATTTTCTATATTTGTCAAATATGAATAAGAATTAAAATGTTAAAGTATGAGTTTGAAGCTATTGAAATTGCTTACTACTAAAAGTGACCAGCTCAGTGGTAGAAAAGGGTTCTGCTCCTTTTAATTAAAAGTAATCATACTTCTATACTATACTACTTGTGTCACAAGTAAAGTGCTGGAAATGTTCATTTGTCATTGGTTTATTATTCATATTATTTGATTGCTAAACAGAGCAGATGACAAAGAACACATTAAGACAACAAGAGAGTCATGTCAGTCCTGTTAACCAGCATGCTAGGATATTAATACTTTTCCTCTTTATGTCTGCATGACTAGTGATCCCCAAGGTGACCAAGCACCTTCTGTCGAACCCAGTGTTCACCTGCATCATCCTGGCAGCCTGTATGGAAATTGCAGTCGTGGCTGGCTTTGCAGCCTTTCTGGGAAAATACCTCGAGCAGCAGTTCAACCTCACCACCACCTCAGCAAACCAGCTGCTAGGTCTGTGTTGACAGCAATCATGCACAGGCACACACATCTGTATACCAGTATAATAAACATGTTTTGTCGTCACTTTATTTTTAAGGAATGACCGCCATTCCATGTGCGTGTCTGGGGATCTTCATGGGCGGTCTGCTGGTGAAGAAGCTGAACTTGTCGGCGCTGGGAGCCATCCGCATGTCCATGCTGGTCAACCTGATCTCCACCGCCTGCTACGTGTCCTTCCTGTTCCTGGGCTGTGACACCGGCCCTGTCGCAGGAGTGACAGTCACATATGGCAACAGGTAAGAGAGAGCCTGACAAAAATGGCAGCCATTTGAAATTAATGTTGAATACAGGTTAAAGCACTGACAACTCTCATTGACACTTATTTATCCAACTGGTGACAGCTTGTAAACAATGTGTAACTAGTGATGAGGGGTCATAAGTAGACATTTCTTTGTTTACAAGCCCAAAAAGTTGGAAACCACTGGGTTATAGAAGTATCTGTTATATGAACATATCTTAACAACACCCTGAAGTGAGTGTAACATAGTCACACTGTGTTAAAGTTACCAGGTTTAAAAAGAATTTAACTTCCTGGATAACTGGTCTTCTGACATGCTCTGTTCACCCAGGATTTTCCAGTTTAGCAGAGTGTCTGTTTCCATGACAAAGCTGGTCTTGTAACGATTAACATTCAGCTGATCAGGAACAGAGTATTGTATGTAAGAACAGATTAAATAGTTGCTCCCCAGAAAACGAACATCTCCATCTAGAGTCAGCAGAGATTTGAATACTATAGATTGTGAAATAAATGCATTAGGATTTGTGTCCTATCATAAGGACCCAGTTGGTCTAATAAATAAATATGAGCTGTGAAAAGCTCCTTCCAAGATTAGAGGACTTTATTGGAGGTGAACTGCAGAGGGTCTAAATGTGTAAATAAAAATTCTTATCACTGCAGGTCATTGGGGCAGAGTGGGCTTACTTTTTATTCAGACAACTTTGTGTCATCTCATTCAGTCTATAAAAAAGATTTCTATTCAGAAAGTGACCTCGTGTTCCTCAAAGCTGCGCTGAATACGAATGTCACAGACTTTACCGAATCAGTCATCAGTCCTATGGTTTTAGAGCAAAGTTATCGTTCAACAGGACATTTCATCGACTTTTATATTGATTACCTGTTCGACTGTAACTACTGCTACTTAATAGAATTGCTGTTTTTCATACATATAAAGAGGCATTTATTAAAATCGTTGTCGCTATCTATTTATTGTGGCCTGTCGTTGTCTAAAGCTGGGAATTGTTTGACATTTTCCGATAATATTGTCAATAAAATACCTAAGTTTTGACAGCGATTCCAAAAAGCTACTTTTATACTAAACAATTTTTTTGCTTTAACAAAATAAACCAAACTCCTTAAATTTATTAAATGTTATCTAAACAAAAGCAGCCTCACAAAAACTTTATCTACAAAGGAAGAAATCTAAATTTGGTAAAATTATCATTCAATTAGTACATTTCTGGTTAAAGAAGAAGAAAACAATACAGCATATCTGGCATTCTTACTCTTTTATGATAGTAAATTTAATGTCTCCGGGATTTAGACTGTTCGTCAAATGAAAAAAGACGGTTGAAGACAGCAAAGACATTTTGGACACTGGCATATGCTATCGGCCTTTGTCACGGTTTCATGTCCGGAGCTGCAGCCGATACAACAATATCACAATATGGAGTATCATCTTTGGCCTGAGCTATAGTAGGGAGGGAGGGGATAATTGATCTTTTACACAACATTTTTAAAATTACACATTTTGCACACATGTACAGACAGTCAATTACTCCTGTGTTCGAGCAAAGACACTTGTGTTTTGTATTACATGGAGATGTCAGGGGTTCTCCAGGCGTGTGCCTCTTTGCATTAGACCACTTACTGTAGATCACTGAGCAAGTGATTAATCGGGCATTGTTATAGATCTTTTCAGTGTGAAAGCAGTATTTTTCTCTGTATGGCGGTCCCTTTTAGAAATACTGACTTTAGGCCTTTCACTAGTTTTCAGTGTGGTAGCCTGGACTCAGTCTGCTCCAGAACAGGTTAGCTCTGCAGTGCAGTTTCCATGGAGATGTTAAAATTGGTCCAGAGACCCATAGCATTACTGATAAAGGGCTGAGAGTGTTTCTTCGATTTTGCTTGTGCCTCATACAGATGTACAGTAGTTGGTACTTAGAGTGGGAAGGGATGCTCAGCTTTCTCTCCCTGTCTCTGTTCAGGACTCTGCGGGTCGGCGAGAAACCAGACGCTCAGTGCCTCAGTCACTGCAACTGCTTCACCTCCTCCATCAGTCCCGTGTGCGGCTCCAACGGCATCACCTACTTGTCCGCCTGCTTCGCCGGCTGCAACCGATCGGCAAGCACTCAGGCCACATCAAACATCTCTCAGGTCTTTACCCTAAGACTGCTCTGTGATCGTGATCAGTGAAGTGGGTGGGATAGTTATCTACCTGACTGTACTGCAGAAAAACGACCAGCTTAATCACAGATGATTTTCTTTATTAAAAATTATAGTTCAAAGTAGATGAGTTCAGTTTTTAACGGTTCTGTCGTCAGCTATCACACGCAGGGCAATCAGGTTTTACCGTGGTTTTGAAATCAGATGTCAACTGCAGATAAGTCTCTTCTATATTCAAATCACATGCTGAGAGAATTTCTTTCAGCTCAGCAGCACAAAACAATTATTACTGCTATCTCTCATGCCATAGTTATTGTAGTATTTCATTTTTTAAGTGCAGATGTAAAGTACAGATCACTTAGCTCTACTGTGTTGATACTGGCTTTTCCTCCAAATGTGAAAATAAGACTTAGACTTAGACAGACTTTAAATGAAATTACGTTGCAATGGCACATAGCACAGCCCAGGAATAAAAGGGAGGCAGTAATGTACATTCTAAAACAGATATGGCAAATTTAAAAGAGAGAGAAAAAATTTGTATAACGACCCCAGTAGATAATAAATATTGCACAGTGTATTTGCCTATGTAAAAGAAACTTTTGTATATAATACAAATAAAATAAATACGATAAATATATTGCACAATATAGTTACATATGTGGAAACCTTTTTGTAAAAGACGGATAAAATAACTGAGATCAATATAAAATAGCTAAGATAAATATAATTTAAAATAACAAAATAACATGTCTTCCCTGTGATTCATCTGACTTGTATTATTCAAATGGTTCTCAGTTTAACCCTTTTGTCTTTTTCTCTTCACAGAACCTGACTGGATGCAGTTGTATATCTGCTGACCCTCAATCCGCCACAGCGGTTCCAGGGAAATGTCCGACGCCGGGCTGCCAGGAGGCTTTCCTCACCTTCCTGTGTGTGATCTGCGCCTGCAGCCTGGTCGGAGCCATGGCACAGACTCCTTCTGTTATCATCCTAATCAGGTATATATGTGTGTATTTTTGAGTATATGAATGGGTGTCTTCTTGCATAGAAGTATATGGAAAACAAAACATAATTTTATTCTATCCGCTTCTCTTGAAGGACTGTGAGCCCTGAACTGAAGTCATACGCACTCGGAGTGTTGTTTCTTTTGTTACGACTCCTCGGTAAGAACTATTAAAACAACTTCTATCAAATAACACATTCATTTTAAATACTATGGGTCTGTGTCTAGAACCTCAGACGCTTTGAAGCACATACAGAGGCAGTTAGTGTTTGGGTATTAGTATACTGTAAAGAAAGAAAGGGTAAATCAGTAAAAGAAAGACTGATGATTTGCTTTTGACCCAGAATGCACACAAAGTAGTCTTTATTATCCTTGAAGTTATTTTTGTGGGCTCAGTTAGTGTTTCTGTTTTACAGGATTCATCCCCCCTCCTCTGATCTTTGGTGCTGGGATCGACTCGACTTGCCTTTTCTGGAGTTCGGACTGTGGCGATAAGGGTGCTTGCCTGCTATACGACAATGTAGCTTACAGGCATCTGTATGTAGGCCTTGCCATCATTCTCAAGGGTGTCGCCTTCCTCCTCTACGCCACCACATGGTATTGCTTACGCAGGAACTACAAGAAGTACATCAAAGGTCATGAAGGCTACATGACACCAGCTGAGTTTTACCCCTCTCTCACAGACGGACCCAAACAAGTTGACAGGACAAAGTTTATATATAACCTAGAGGACCACGAGGTTTGTGAAAATATGGAGTCAGTTTTATAGTTTGTTACGCAAGAAATGGACAATGTGGACGTCCATATTCTCTCAGAGGACTATTTTATGATTTTATTCTTATTTTCTTGAAAGGATAAAATAAAATGTTTTGATAAAGGCAATCTATTTAACAGCCTGTTCAGGTCACAGGAGATGTGGCTCTCCACTGCCCTCCAACGTCCTCGGTCAGCTATCGAAAGGGTCCATTTTAGTCGTTTACGTATCAGCGAGGTGTTGTCCAGTGTTGCCGGTGAATTCCTGTGTTGAGTTGGTGGTAGAAGACGACTACAGTACTGTCTGGCTCAGTCCTAGTTGATTATTAGTGAGTGGACATGATGCTACTACAACTATAGTTGCCATATCGTTTTCTGTCGTGATTCCACTGATGTGTGTGGAAAATGACAGTTTTCTTTCAGTCAGTGCACTGTGTGTTCTGTCTGTCACTCTCTCAAAAGTGAGAGGTTTATGATAAAAAAACGTTTGGGTGGTTCTTCAGTTATTCATATTTAAAAGTTGCCAAGTGTTTACAAACTAATAGTTCAGCATTTTATTTCAGTGCAGGAAGGTTTCTTATAAAACGAGAACATAAACACCCTGTTTGGGTTATTATAGTGGCCTGTTAGATGTTTTAACTGTCAGAAAATCGAGTCTAATAAATCTAAACAAGGTCATGTTTTCATGTCATCGTGCACTGTTCGGTTTCTCGTTCTCTTGCTGGATCACAGGCACTGTTTTTGATACTGTTTAGACTAGACTATGAAGTCTTGTCTCATAGGCGCAAATGTGCAATTCATATCTGATACATCAATGTTTATTACTAGTTTTGTGTCAGACTGCAGGTTTGTTTTTAATTATAGCAGTTTGTTTCATTTCCATGTTTGTTTTTACATCTGCAGAGTTTATTCAGCCTAATATGTCTTAATAAGGGATTATTCAATAAGAATGTTAGTTATGTTTTCTTTTGACTTTTGCACATAGTGGAAGAGCAAAGAGGAAAATAATATTTCTTTGTGTTTGGACATTCAAGTTAAAGAGGTAATGAGTAATATATTTGTTTCATTAGGCCCAGAATGTTTTATTAGATTGTATTTGAGAGGACAGTATAAATTATATATAATCTAATTGTCTGAGATGTGTGTGTCTGATGCCACAGAAGATTTGGGACAATTCATGATGAAAGTAGTATGTTGCATTATTGGGGGTGGGGGGACGGGGACGGGGGGGGGGACACAATATGTGTCTTCAAACCTGTAATATTTGGGATAAAGGTTACAGAAATGCTACGGGAGGCTGTATGTGCAAGGTCAACAAAGTGAACAACACAAAGAACACACTGCATTTATTCCTGGACATGTATTTGAACAACTCTTCAACGCAACTAGGCACATACAACCTGTTACTCTACTGATCTCTCTCCAGTTACAGTTTGGACATCGTCCCTTTTCTTACACTTTTTGTATGGCAACATATCATTTGTTTTACTCTGAAAATAAATTATTTTTCAGAAAATAGATACAAATTTGTGTGTTTTTGCCTTCTTTTTATATAGTTTGTCATTGAGAGCTGCTCTGTCCAATGTTATTATTATAGTTTTGTTTGGTTTGGTTTTATTGTCATAAACAACCTACACAAAACAAACTTGTTCAAATATTCACACAACAAAAACTAAAAAGACACAAATTCAATCCAGTAAGGGACACAGGCATGCAGAAATTAAAAATATAAGTTATATTAAAATAAAACAAACTATAAACAGCATGTACAACAAACAAGGTGTTATGCATAAAATTGTATGACACAATAAAAACTCAATATGACTTATTTATTACAATAACAAAGACTGCTGTGCATCTATTACATCACTAATTATACTAAAAATGCATTTTGACTAAGACTGGTTATTAAACTGTGTTACACGTAACACTGGTGATATGCAGTGTATGTGATATTTTTTGCTGAAATAAGATAATTTAAAAACAGATAATATTGAAATACTACAAAATGTTTAATGGCAATACACTGAAATGTAATTTAAAATAAGTTTTGCCTTTCCTAATATTGAAACAAATATTTGTGTGTGTGATATACAGTACACATTGTGTAGAACTATTCTATCAAATAACCTTGTTGAAGCACCATGAAGGGAACAGCGTGAGGTTTTCAACTGTCTGGCTCATCGTATATTCTTAACATTGTAGTATACTAAGTGCTCACTCAGTAAGATGTAAAGCAGTGAGCCAAGAAATTAATGGCCCACTCAAGCACAGAGAGTTCTCATATTTTGATTTGCACAGCATATTTAAAGCTACCAGTTTAGCTTTTAGATTTTAGTTTTCAGTCACTATTCAGAAAGGAGCCTTTGTGATGCTTTTCCAGACTGCTACTGAATGTGTTATTGTCTTTTTAAAAGCTGCAGAACTTTAATTAGTGTACAATGTAGATTAGGATGGTAATTGATATTGATATATATTGATATTTATTTATACGGCGCAGACAGCAAACTGCTGAGAGAATGAAGGACAACAGAGCAGGCAAGTTTATTTGTACAGCTCCTCTCAACAAAGCAATTCAAACAGAAGAAAAAGCGTTACAACATATGCAGGAGAAAGACGAGGCAATATAAAGCAGCACATAAATAGAATTTTAAGAGCAAAATAATAATAGAAATAATAGCAAATAAGTATAATTGAATAAAACAGGAGAGTGAATTTTACAGTGCGGAACAAATTATGAATCCACTCAATTTAATTTATTCAACATCAGAGGCAAACAGAAACGTTTTAAGGGTCTGATTTAAAAGAACTGAGTTTTCTCAGAGTTTGTTCCAGGAATGTGGAGCATAAAAACTGAATGCTGCTTCTCTATTAGATTAGATTAGAATCTGTGGACATTAATCAGACAGTCTGAGAGGTCGGAATTAGTACATCATAAACGTATTTTGACCCTCAACCACTCAGTGTTTTATACAATGCCAGCAGAATTTTAAAGTCACTTCTTTGATGCAGAGGAAAGCAGTGTAAAGATCTGAGAACTAAACTGATGTTATCACTTTGCTGGCCTACTGAATGAACTGTCCTTTAGAGAGACCTGTAAAAACACCATGACACCAGTCGAGTCTGCCCTAAAGATCAAAGCATGGACAGGCTTTTCTCCATCCTGCTGAGATGTAAATCCTCTAATTTTTAGATAGTTGGCTGATTTTGATTAATGTGAAATGTCACCAATGAGTTTTGGACCGCTCGCCTGTGAGGCAGCTTTAACATAGTGACACAGATACGTTTGCAGTCTATAAATATACAGAGAAAACATATAAAGCAGCCAAGATACAACAAATACTGTCTAATTTTTTTTTTCTAGGCAAAAATAAAAGCCAGTTTGAAAGCCAATTCCTTTTTTATTTTCAGCTACTACATTTACTGATGAAAATGTCAAAACACTGTGATTGTGCTCAATAAATCATCATTTTGGGAGCATCTATTCAGTGTGCTTGAGATAGTTTTTTGCCTTTTTGCCTGCCTGATATGGTGTCTGCATATGCACACATTACCTCATCAACCACTACGTCGACATATCCTGACATTTTGGCCAAACTGTATGTGAGCAACACTTTAAATTTAAGCGAACAGTGTGAAATAATAGATGAAATATCTTTTGTAGCCAACAATCACATTCCCAAAAAATATTTCTAAAGGTCGCCCTCCGTGTGTTTCAAAAAAAGAAACTGTCACACCTGCACACAGACAATTAATGGCTGACCTTAGTCTGTCGCAGCAGCAGAGAGTCAACGGGGTTTGGTTTAGTACATGAAGGCATGTCACTCTTCCACAGTGCACATTTTATCTGCTGTGAATGTGAAGACCGATCAGAGAGGCATGCGCTTTTAAATGTATAAATGAATCAAAATAATGACTTGGTAGCAAAGCTGAACTCCCTCTGCAGTTCTAAACAACTGAGCCAAAACTGCGCTTTGTGTGTGTGTGTGTAAAACACCCACAAAAGGAGCACAAACATTTATCAAGGCACCGTTTCTTTGTCATCTTTATCAAATACAGTCTGCTGGACTGGAATGAATCACAGTTTCATTATATCAGAGATCTCACTGGGATAGAATAAATAATTGATACTCTGTAAACAATAAATAATAAATCATAACTTTATTCAAAATGTTAATGTTTGGCTCGTGAACTGAAGCATGGGCTTTTATGAAAACTACATGTAATTACTATAATTTCTAAGCTCTAAATACAACAGGCTTTGAAAAATGAGTGTGTGTGTGTCTGTGTGCTAATAATAGCACAATGACACTCTTCAACAGGACAAAAAAAGCTTGTGTATGACAACAGCATCAGTATCAGCAGCATCCGCTTTCTTTTAACAATACTCTGTGATACACACCGCACTCCTGATGCTCTTCACATCAAAGACACACAAAATGCTAAAACTATGCGTCTCCGGGAACGTGTCCTCGTTGAAAGTCAAAAACACAGAAAAAGCTGACAACGGGACCTCGAAATAGAAGCTGCTGCAGGGCAAGAGTTTTCTCTTACAATCAAGAGGCTTTAATTAGCCTAATGGTGCTTTAGTAAGACAACTCCGGAAGAAAACAAAATAAAGCAATATATCCTCAGTGGGAAGTTCTGATTTATGTTTTACTCATACTGTTGAGGGATATACTGTGTATGCTTTAGTGAATATTAATCTAGTGGAGTGGAGTTTAGCCTGCTGACATTCTGATTTTCATGCTTGGTTTTTCAACAATAAGATCACAAACTGTAGAGGATGATGTATATAAATGCAGAATATACAGTCTTAATAATGAATCAGCATTAGATAGCATTTGATGTTATTAGCAGGGTAAATATGGTTATACGTCTTGTCATTATGCGCACACTCTGAAGGCTCCAGCTGCACTTTTCACTTTATGCAAATCAGGCCTTTATACACGTCTATGAAATACAATGTGTAGATAATATATGCATGCAATTTGAAAACAGGCTGCTAACATTTTACATTTGCTTTGACTAATTAATGCCTGATTTGCAATGAAACACTATCCCGTATGTTGATGGTTAAAGGCTGCAGACAGATAATAACAAACTATGATACAGTTGAGCTGAAGATTTTAGGCTGCTGTAAAGTCTGACAAGCAAGACTGTGCAAGGGAGAGGTCTGAGGGATGATGATGATGATGATGATGAAAAAAAGGTATAATGTAATCTAGTCATTTTAATTATGGCATACTATAAAAAAAAATACCACTCAAATGTGAATACACTGTTTCCACATACTGTTGGTAATTACACTGGTAGCTTCCAGTGCAGGTAATGCCGCTGTTTTAATTAAAACGGCCATTGTGCACAAACAATTGTAACTTATACACAATTAAAATGTTTAATCAAAGCTTAATCACAACTTAATTAAGCAGTAATTAGTGAAAGTGAAGCGGGTCTTTTCTGCAACTCTGACATATTATGTGCTAGAGGCATAGCAAACAGAGCTTTTTCCTTTGATAGTATATACACAGCAGAGCCAGTGGTTGTAGCAGTAATACAAAGATATATGGTCTGATGCATTTCTTTTTCCAACATCAGCAGTCTTGTCAAAGGAAAAAAAACTAAACTTCCTTGCAAAAAGAATTGAGTGTAAGCTCTGAAACATGTTTTTTTGGAAATGATAACGGCATCCAACATTTATTACTTACAGGGAATATCTCACACCAAAATGAAAAGAAAAACATCACTTTTATCTCAGCCTTGCTCGCAACTATTTAAGTTTACTGCTCCAAAAACCTTAAACCTCTCTGACCTCCTGCAGCAGGATTCAAGTGGTTTCTAGATGCAATATTAAGAAGTGTTTAGATCTTTAATTCAGGTGAAAATACCAATAACAAAAATGTAGAAATATCCTCTACAAATCCATCCAAAATCCTACCAAAGTAAAAGTACAGAACTATTAGTACTGAAAGTGTATTTTCCACTGGTTGAGGTGGAGATTACTGTAGTCCTGGTGCTCCCAACCTACTGTACCTCCAGAGGGTCACAAGATATATATCTGAGGGGATGTAAGATGACTGATGGAAGAAGAAGAAAGAAGAAAAATGTCTCCAATATCCTTTAATCTTTTACTTTCCTTTCATTATCATGAAATATTGGATAATTTTACCTCTTTGGGTGTCCTGGCTTTTAAATCTTTAATAGAAACCTGAGAAAATTAGAGGGGAAATCTGTCTTTGGAGAAACTCAGACACTTAAAACTTGACAACTGTGTAAAATCTGAAAAAGTAACAAGTCTCTACAGATAAATATAGTGGAGTAAATACTATTACCATCTGAAATACAGTGTAGTAGAAGTATAAAACATTATAAAAAGGTGACCCTAAGCACCCTAAAATGATACTTATAGTATATGTATAAATATATGTCCTTCCACCACTGGTGACCAGAGCTATAAAAAGATGTCCCCATTAACTTCAGTGGATGTCTGGTGTCTACT